TGGTCTGCGTTACGTTTGTTAAGCAACTTTCGCAAAGGCCAGCCATAAGATGGGTGTCCTGCATCTGCAGTTACACCCACCAAATAATCTAAGAATGAAAACAAAGATCCTTTTGATCACGTTCACAACGATTACACAAATACAATTAATTTTGAATTTGGCATTAACCTATGTTTGCTGATGTTAGCTATGCGTCTAGCTTTTATTACTTCTCATGTCAATGTCTTTATTGTATTGTGTCAGAAACAAGTATTCGGTATTGCGTCGCAGGTAGGTATTGTCATATGAGCATGTTTGATTTTTACAAGAAATACATATGAAAATATCATCATTAGTTTATTGGGGCATAGATCTTCCCTATGAATGGAATTAATTTATTCATTTTTGTTCATCATTCATTTATTCATTTTCATTCATCAGTCATTCATTCATTTGAACACCTAATAAGTTTTCTGTAAAGATAATATAAAATTACTAAAATTTTGAGAGTGCAACTTTGTAAAAAAATACAATAAATGTAGTTCTTATATAGCTACAAGTTATAAACGAGGTATTTTTTATCTTGTATTATTATTGTGTAGGAAAATAACGCTTAAAAAGTACCTACTATAATAATTATAATTATGATGACACAACATAAACGTGTTAAATTGCGCACAGTGAATATGATTTCTAGGCAACTATAGAATCTCATGTGATATTATCTGAAATTTATTTTTATTTATGATTATACATCTGATAAAAAAAAAACAATTCTAAAAATACTATATACTTCTTAGATCACAGGCTAAGTTACTAACGTCCTGTTATTATGGAAATCTGAAACAATGAAGTTACTGTAACTAATACTATACGAATAAGTGAAAAAGACACAGACGTAAAAAGAATATTGTTGCTGGTAACTCAGTAGAAAAGAGTACGATTATAAAATATTGTAATGAAAAAAATGACACCAAAAAATGAAAAATAATACTCATTTTTAGTTGTCAAGATTTTTTATTTATTTATGATATCTACTTTTTGAAATCGGGCTAAGATTTTGTGTAGTTGTTAATATTAACCGCTTTTGAGAACCGGTTTACAATGCCGGGAGAAATCGGTTAACATTAATAAAAAATATACACCCGTTAAACATGATACCTCCTCCATTACGATTTAAAAGTCTGACAAAATGAAAACATATGATAGCACCACATTACAATACATTCAATGATGGTAAAGAAAATTTAATTTTCTACATCCATTCGAACTTCTTTGCCATGCTACAAGTTGCACACAGCTTCAAGCAGTGCTGTTACAGCATTTCTTCATCTAAAAAATAAAATCATTACTACCTTTTGAATGTGCTTGATGCTATCTATGTTTTTAACAAAATACCATTGCTAGATTTCGACTCGAGTTCTAAGAGATAGTGACACCTTGAAACCAAGATGACTTGTCAATCAATTGATCGCTAGGGAACCGTTTAGTGAGATAAAAATAGCCTATATGTTAATTCAGGATTAGAATTATCCGTATTTCAAATTTCATGAAAAGCTGTTCAGCAGTTTTTGCCTAAAAGAGTAACATATATTTTATCTTCAGAAACTTTCACACTTATAATATTAGTGGTTTAGGGCTGTTGATGCGCTAACAAATACAATATGTATTACCATATACGGGTCAATATTTAATTTCATTCAAATCGGCCGTATCGGAGATTGCAAAAATAGATTGTACTTTCATGGTTTATTTAAAAGCTGTTTTCTATTATTAAAGTGTTGAAGGGACAGCAAACGGATGTTTACTTTACGAGATATTGAGAATTAAGATTTTAAATAAATGGTAATGAGATTACACGGTGATGGTAATTAGATATTCCGGAATGCTAATGTGCTATATAGAAATGGTAATTAGAAATAATTAATATATAAGAAAATTTGGCTTTTATTTATCTATATATCTTTTTTATCAAAAGCATTATTATTCATACCTTCCAGAACTCTTTAAGCAATTGGATTAAAGTAAATAAATGTAATTCTGTTGATATTTAAGATAAGGTTTTACTATGTATATGAAGTAGTTTCTCGAACTCGCTCTCTGTATCAATGTTCTGAAAATAATTTCAAAATATTATCTCAATCGTTCTACACAATTGTAAACAATATGTGTTAGCTTTAAGAATCTGCAAAAATCTCTCCAACAAGAAGATGAGAACTAAATTCTCATCTTCTCTGAATTTTTACACTGACGGACAATATCGAAATTGCTTTACCTCTCTCCGAAAGAATTTGGTATTCAAATTGAGACCCTTACGTCAGTTTCTTTTATAATCGCTTAATCTTTTCTTATATTGGTTATACATTTCTAGTATCAATGTGAAGCAAAATTGAGAGATAATCGAGACCATGATTTGACAAAATTTTGTACTGTACATACCACTAGGATACCTAGTGTTTAATACCTATTTGCGTATTCATTTAATATCACATACATAAAATATAAGACTGAAATTTTCATCAATGTTCACGCATCTTCGTTTCAGTCGTACTTATGTAGGTACGTACTCCTTATAATAATATCTTTAAGTTTATGCTCCCTTCCTGTTTATCTTTTATATTTTCACTTCTCTCTGCTCTTTACCAGATATTGATCTATTTCAAAAGTTTGATCTCTGTAGACCTTTGTATCCATTAGAGTCTCGGAGTCGGTTATTTATCAGAATCAAATTCGTCTCGCTTTTTTGAATATTATTTCAATTCCATCCAACGTAATTCTAGTTCGGATTTGTGATCTCATTGGCTTGGCGACGGTCGTGATGGGCACGTTTCTTGAAAATGACTAAACCAAATTTCGCTATTTTTAATTAAAAATAATAACAGTTCAATTTTATGAACTGGTATGAAACCTCGTTAACTGTCATCTATTCACCAGGATATTTACCTCCTAAACGAAATGCTTGATCCCCTCTTTCTAATCAGTCGAGGCCGTGTAATGACTTTCTATCACGTCAACTGGTCCCTACAGAGAGAAGTAATGGCTTAAGAGCGCAATCAAGAATGGACGAGAGGTTTCTCGGCTTTACGAATAGAGACTACGTCCTGGCTAATCGACATCCTTCGGTAAGATAGACTGATGATCTCATAAAGATAGCCGGCAGTGACAGGACGAAGATATATGGAGATCGTGTTTATTGTCCACTAGTGGGTACACAACAGGCTGCTATAATTAATATTTCATCAAAATACCTCATTACTATGTCACTTATCATATTCCCATTCCTATTAAGGGAAATGGTAATCTATTGTAATGAGGTTTGCAGACATTTTCAATTATATATTATTATTTTTAGTAGATATGCACTTGCTGTGACATGTAGACCTATATAATACTTATGCTAAATACAATAATTAAATAAATATCTGAATAAAGGAGATATCAAAAAAGGTACTTAACTTTTTTGATAAGATCGGTGATCAGCCATTTCTCAAACCTTAATACTTACATACGGAAGAACTTAATTTTATGAAGCCACGCTTACTCTTTACAAGTTGACTGATATTTTCGAAAAAGTCATGAACTACCCAAAGATATTAAACATAAAATCAATGCTTAGTGATTGATACATAATTTAAAAAAAATAAGCTAATCATATCGTGGAACGGTAATGAGAGAAAAGTGCACGGACAAAGTTCAAAGGCACTTGAATTCTTTGAATATGTTTTTTGTTAACATTAAATTAAATTTTCCAGGTATATGAGAATATATAAGTATTATAAAAATATATTGTATTATAATGTTAAAATTATAACATTGGTAAAATTGATAATGTATAATTATGTATTATACTAGTGCACCTCCTTTCTATGTATTATTGTTGTGCCCGACAGGATTCATACTGAGATAAACTAAACTATGTAACACTATTTTAAATGACCAATAGAAACAATAAACTTATTGAATATTGAAACTTTTATAACATCCTATAATTGAATAATTAACAGATTTGAAGACATTAAAACTTTAAAAAATAAGCTTTAATGTCTTCAAATCTGTTAATAGGGACACGACTGGTAAATAATTTTGCAGCTTTTATTTTGAAATTAAATACATTTCTAATTAAAAAATAACTTTAGCAAATTGACGTTTTTAGAATCGACATTACACTACTTTAATTACACTTACACCACATTACTTACACAATACAAAAACTGATTCAGTTCCAAGTTTTTTTCTAGCATTTATATATTATTTATCGCCGGACACCCAATTTGCACGAAATGAAATGTTCATTCACGCCACTGATACAAAATTTTCAAGTAGTTAAAGCGTCAAGGTTCTGTAGTAACTTATAAATCATTGGACTGTACATCAAATAAATTCCAAAATTTCAAATGAGTTTGCATGTACAGTAATATTACTAAGAACATTTGACTAGGAGTCATCGGAAACCACTCAGTGGGTAGGTCCTACTCTGTTATAAAGACACCTTTAAATAAGACGACAAGCGCAGCGCTGTCATTTTGTAGAGATCAAATGAATCCGAATTGGAAATGTGATAAAGATTTTATTTAAGTGAAACTGTATACTTGTGACGGCATTAAGTTCGGGGCTGTTTTTGATAGAATATCACAACTTGCTTTAGTTGTAAACTTGCTAGTATTTATTGTACTCAAGTAAGTATAACCAGACCACGCGGGAAATCACCTATGCGATGGACCGACCAAATAAAGTCCATGGTAGGCAAGTCTCTACACGAGTGCTCGAAGATGTCGATTGACAGACAGAGATGGCGAGATGTCGTGAGGCGTGTTAGTAGAGAAGAGAAGATTAGAGAGAAAATTAACTGTATTTTGTTTCTTCTGCAAAATGATTAGGCACGAAATTAAAATGAAATAAAATCAAAAATTAAAAGAAATCTCCGTGGTCTCTTTTATGCTGTATCATGATGATAGGAAAAAAAAAAATTAGATACACGTTTAATAAAAATAAACGCATTAAAATTAAACATAAAATATTTTATCATTTACTTACTTTTATTAAATCATAACTAAGATTCTAACAACAACTATGAGATTTTTTATTGAAAAAAAAAGCTTTATATAAACCAAATGAAACCTTCAGTACCATTAAAATAAGTGAATCAGAATTAGAATTTTGCTCGCTGTTGAAAACCTATGTTAATATCACTCCTAGTAAGTCTTCTTCGTGGAGAAGGTGTGACAAATGGCATTCTTATAAATGTAGTTAGTATCTGATAAATAACAAAACAACTGGCAATATCACATATGTACACATCTCACAGGCTTAGGCTAAGACTTCACACATGTAAATGATGTATCGATATTTTTCATAATAACAGAAAATTTTAAATACTAGCATCCCACAAGCGAAAGAATTTTTGAATTTGGTACATTAGTGTCGGATTCTATTAAAAACAAACAAAGAAATTGGAATTGTCGAGAACACCGTCTTTGCTGAAGCAATGGGTTAATCCATTCCATGTTTTTCACTTCTAGTTAATAAAAGGTGAGAAACATAAGAATAATAACATTAGTTCTTAAAGCTAAATATTAAATAATTCATAACATATAAAATTATTGCACTGTTACTTTTTCTTGAATCGCTTAAATAAATTTATGACAGGATCGTCGGCGAAATGCCTAAATTTTCCGCTGTAGTAACCCTCAATCTCTTGTAAGGTCTTGCCTTCTGTTTCTGGGAGGAAAAAGTAGAGATATATTGTGCCGGCGTACGCGAACGCAGCATAAATACCGAAGGCACCAGCAAGTGCGAAATGTGTTTCGAAGTTAAGAAAGGTTTTGGAGCCGACGAACATGATGATGTAGTTGCCGGCAGCTGCGAAGCCTTGTGCTGCAGCACGACTCCTGGAATATTGAAGATAATATAATCAATGTTGATGTTAATTCCGAAAGTCCTCAATGTAAATCATATATTTACATTGAGAACTTTCGGAACGTGATGGTTTAGGTAATTTAGACTAACTTTTGTATTTATAAACAAAAATTTTTGAGGGTAAGCCAATATCAAGGTACTTATTCTGATATTACGCATTAGACAGCAATTTTTTTAAGATTTGTTTTATGAGTAATATGTGTTTTGTTAATGTTTTAACAAACCTTTTAGAGCAGAGATTTGAATTTTGATTTAAGGTTCAAACTTTTTATTTTTTGGTACCTGAACTTACCTGAATGGAAAGACTTCTCCGAGCAGCACCCATGGTATACCTAGCCCATTGAAAATACCTACGAAGTAAAACAAAACAAGTGGCAAATAGCTCTGTTCTTGAGGGAAAGTGCTAGTGTCGTATGAGAATACTGAGGTCTCGAGATATTTCTTGGCGTAAATGCTGAGGGCCATGCAAAATATCGCTGAACCAAACATGGCAGATATAGCCAGTTTACGTTTACCGAGTAGCTTGATTAGAATTATTGTCAACCCGCTGGTGGCGAACGTCAAAATTCCGATCACGAACTGAAAAAAAGGAAAAAGATAAATTTTAATAAGATTCAAATAGGCCAGTTTTCCTAGAAGTATCTATATTGCGGGACGTAAACAAAAACTTGTCTGCGATCGTAACTTCCGATTATTTTTGTTTTCTTCGCACTCATGCTACTTGATTCGTTGTTCTAACGTAGAGAAGTTAAGTCCTAATTCTAAAAGGTGTTTATGGCGAATGCTTTTATTAAGATTCAATATACTAGCTATCTACAAGTCACTGATTACTTCAAAGTTTAGCTTTATTATCTCATGGAAACAGGTGACAAGCTTGTCGCTTAGAATAAATAGCAAGACAAAATTTAATATAAAGACTACGAATCAAAGCTACTAATCACCCATACACACAATTGCCCTACACATACAATTTGCCGTTTGTTTACTTGTTTAATATTTAATTCATTTAAACAAACATATTCAATGTTGTATTAAAGTTTAGGGCGTTTTGGGGATAAGTGCGAATGCACACTGCAAACTGGTGTTAAAGAAAGTTAATTCTATTGGGATCATTAGATTCAGCTTTTCTTTTTGAGCAAGACTCAGATATTAATTCTGAAGTCTGGTTTTTTATCACCCATGTCATTGGAAGATTAGGTAAATGTTATTCGATCTCTGCATTTGTGAAGTGCACGCTTTGTTCTATGGAAAACAGGCTCCGATCGCTTCTGAATACTGTAAATTGTTAAGTCTTTATTTCGTACCACTATGTGTTTCCCATCGTCAGCCATGCCAAAGGCACCACACACGTTGACCATATTCGGCCGAATGGGTGTCAGACCGCTCATCGAGGAGAACAGGAAGTACAAGATCACCAGTGTGAAAGGTCTCAAGGTCTCCTTAGATAACATCACGTATCTGAACTTCAATAGGAATCTGCAATGTTGCAAAAAATATTTCTGTATAATATTTTCTTTAATTAGAATTTACTGAGTTCGATATGCGTGAATGGTTGGTGATTGGTTTATTATCAAAATTAAAAATAACCTGAACTGAATGCTCGTGTATTCGAATATTATTTTGGTACTAGTAGATAAATTTTTAGTTCTTAAGTTAGTAAAAATGATGATAATAATAAAAAAAAAAAAAAAACTTTTACGATCGTTGTTGCTGGCTTATTACTTCAATTTACAGCACATATTTTTTTAAAAAAAACCTCGTATTTTCTTTATCGTTTGATTTGCACTGCTGCATTTTACATCAGTAAATCCTTGTAGTTTTAATTTGTAAAGTAACTATAAGCCTACTATAATGGAAGCATACTGAAGATACGTAGAATCAAGAGAATGTAAAGAGTTATTAAAAGAAGTATTAGAGACTACAGACCTCCTGATACAATTCATTTTGTAATGTTCGCAGTCTTTAGTCTCGTCTTCCTCAGTCTTGCAGCAGATGACGCAACGTTGCAGTTTCTTAGAGTAAACAGTAAGCTGATCGAACTCCTCGCGGACGTTTTCTGGTTTTGTCCAACCTCTGAGGTAGCAGAGAGACTTTAGGGCATCCTTTTCACGACCTCGAGATAACAGCCACACTGGTGTTTCAGGGACCTGTAAAGATTTTATAAATTGTTTACATTAAAATTGATAGATTAAAATTGATAGATTTTACATCCAAATACGAATGAAAATATGATAATGTTGATTATTGTTGCTTTGTAAGTGCGCTTTAATAGCTTTATAAATTTATAACGGCTGTTTTATGTTTCCTACCCGCTTCCTTTTTATAATATGCGCATTTAGTCTACAATTGACTCTCGGAGAACATCGCTTGCGCTGTCTCAAGTTTTTTGAAATCCTTATTCGTCGTGATTGCTATGTTCTTATGAAGCCTAAGTTATTGAAAATGTGTTGTTTACAAGATTGTGTTATTTAGTGAAAATCAGTAGCTTGGAAGACATTTGGTTGAGCACGTGCTTTTTTGGACTTCTATTTGCAGCATCAATCAGCAATCAGAGTGAGTGCATATTTCTATCCAGTTTTCTAGCTGTCTTTGTTTTTCTTCCTCTTTTAATACCCTAAAGACATCTCGTTCTTATTTAACAGCCGTTTCAATAAATCAGTTGTTTTCAATGATTAAAATATACAGTCCATTAGGTTTATTTTACCAGCTACTAAGAAATATATATCATTATTATTTTTACACCAGATAACATAACTAAATTATTGGAATGTTATATGTTTTTTGCTTCGGTAACCTTAATTTCGGATCACTTGTATCAAAGTCTAGAAAAAGTCTTGATATATCTTATGATTGACAACTTTACAAAACAAAAGTTGTACAAGTATTCTAAATATACGTAATTTATCCAGTTGTGTTTAAACTCTACCTGAAGAAACTTGACGGATTTGATTAACCTGACGTGCTGGTGACTTTACCTACTACGAGTATGTATAGAAATTAAAGAATCAATAAACATTTGGGCATGAATATAAAAAAAATAAAATCCACCATATAAAAGTCTGTAAAAATCACTGTGACAAATACTCGTTAATTTAGCGGTTAAAAAACAAATAAACCTCATGATTTAACATTCATATAGCCTTCATGGTTAAGTATCACGAGTTTACATATATTTACTTTGGATCGTGCGTGCTTGTTATTAATAGTTAGGAATAATTCGGTTAAGACAAATCCGCCATTGAATATACTGATGATAAGTGTACTATGCACCTTTATAATATTAATTTTTATATTTCATTTTCACAGTAAATATTTAAGGATCGGCACACATCTGATGGAAGATGGTTCGCATGATTGTTGGTTGTGCAACCGACTGATCTTCCATCAGATGAGCTAATAATAAACAAATAAAAAGAAAATATTAAATAAATATGAGACAAAATTCCATACATATCTCAGATTTCAAGACGAGCCACAAAAGCACTATTATTATGTAGTATCTAAAAGACGGTTCCACACACCCACATCCGAGGTAATAAAGAAAAGTTCAACATTGACTCGGCCGTAAAATCGAACCCAGGATCTCAGAGATGGTGGACACCTTAACACGGGCATGCGTGCTCTTTGACTATGGAAGTCGTCGGCGTTATACTTACAAGAAGGATGAAAAGCATAGAGGCGACAGGGGCAGCAATACTGACTAGGGCAGCTTTCCTCCAATTGACAATAGTGCCGAGGAAATACATTAGCATTACACCTATTGAGGTAAAGAACTGAGTCACAGTGCACAGCGCTCCGCGTATCGATGGTTCTCTGCAAGAAAAGAAGGATTAAAATTAATAATGATGGATTCAAAAGTAATTATTTACGATTATTGAAAAATATGAAGACATCTCAGAAAATGATCTGGATGTAATTGGTAGACAGACCTTATTTTTTTATTTATAGCTTCATGTATTATGCATATTCAATATAAATTACTTGATTCTGTTATGAAATTACTAATAAACAGGATGTTTTGATAACTCTTAGTCTTCTTCATAGTCGAGTGTCATAGCAACAATCAAGACAGGGTCATTGGTATTTCCGCAAGCAAGAAACAACCGCTTTAAAAGATTTTTTATACACCCAATGCAAACGATTCTAAATATTCATTATACATTTAATTCAGGGCTAATAATCGAAGTGATGATGAAGGAAATATTAGTGACAATTCTTTTATCACAAACTTGATTCGATTCTAAACAACTAAATATGATATAGTACCAAAGTTACGCTAAATATGTAACTACATGTAGTTGCGTATGTTAAAATATAATATCATTCTTTCACAAAAGCGATATCTCCAATATAAATGCATGCCATTTATGTTTTTATTGAATCTTCAATATTTAATTCCTAATAAATTAAGAAAAATACTGACACAGATTTTAAACTTTTGATCTAGGACTCTTAATCTGTTTCTAAGTCTCAATCTTAATTTGCTTTATTAGCCTTTATCCAGAGAACATATAGTAAATTAAAAATCAATTTTAACTATTCATTAACATAAATTGATATCCCAATTATTTATGAATTCTCGTTAGTGTTATATCACTTGTAATTTGAATTATATGACAGGAACTGTAACATTACAACCCTAATTATTGCGTTTAGTACGACCTACAGCTCAAAACAAAGATAAATGTAAAATATGTTAAGGAAAACATAGCCAATAAATATGCGCATTTTTTAAATATGTTCTTTGATAATATGTATCTTTATGTCTTAAAAAAATACCAGACGCTAAAAACAAAAATTCAGTTTAACAATAATAATTAGGTAAGAATTACTTTTAACGCTGAAATTTATGCCGCGCTTGTCGTAAAGTAAATCCCTGCCATTAAGGCCTTGCCAATATAACGTTTAAAATTTAAATCGATTCTGGGTACTGATTAACAAATAATCGATATTTCTTAAAAATATAATCTTTAATAACTTACCAAAATAGTGAATTAAAAATAAAGGTTTCTTATAATTTCAAGCCCACTATCCATTAAACGTTCCGTGTTCATATGAGACTTTAAGGCCTTATTTAGTTATACGTACAGTTGATAATTAAAATTGTCAATGCATTTCTTGCCAATAATCTACTAGTGTCATACAAATCAAAGTATAATAAAGGTTGTCGAAATAAAAAAAAATATTTTATCAGATTATCCGGAACTAGTGAAAATATAATGTCATTTGTTGGTGGTCATCGACCTTGATTACAGTTAAAACTTTCTCAATTCATGGAGTAGTCTTCGTTATTGTCGAATGATCGTAACTTTGTTTACAATACGCTGTTACTTAACCCTTTTTGCCAGATGGATAAAAAGTAAGAAAAATACTACAGGTGTAATATCTACGACTGTCCATCTTTGTTTTCTTTATACTTATTTCAAGGAAGTTGAATACTTTCAAGTTATAAAATAGTTTTAAAAAGTTAAAACGGTTTCATTTTAGCAGTTTTTTTTTTTGCAAAATATCGCTTCCCGTAGAACACCTTTAAAATATTACGTATCCGGATAAGAAACTTTCTTACAATGCTCACATAATATCAGTGTTAGAGTACGTATTTTCTCCTGCTCGAAGAGACTATAAATCTATACTAACATAAAAAGAGGAAAGCTTCGTCTGTTTATTTGCATTGATAAGGCTCCGAAACTGCTGGATTAAATAAAAAAAAAAAAATTTCAACTTTAGGAAGCTACATACATCATACGCGCGCGACAATTTACGAGGGAGAAGTTGCGGGAAAACAGTCATATCATAAAGAGTTAAGAGTCGATTGTTTGGCTTCGAAACTGCTGAACTTTTTAAAAACTCATTCAGCCACGGGAAAAACATCTTACGCGGGTGACATAGACTATAATTTGAGCGAGCGATGTCAGGAAAACAGTCACTACACTATACACTTACGTAATCTCTCCAACATAAGAATTGATCGGCGCCTCCATAAGTCCCGTACCCATTCCCATAAGACCGTTGGCGATGAACAGCATCGGCAGGTTCCACGCGAAATACAAGGTGATCCAAGCGACCAAGTGGGGTATGTTCACCATAAATGTTGCCTTCTTTCTACCAAAGTAATCTACTATTGGACCGGAGAGGAGAGCTCCTACCGGCTGCGTGAGAAACGATATACTACCTGGAGAAAAGAAAATATATTGAAGTGATTTATAGAAATAGGTTATACAATAGCATGTCTAGAAATTAATAGATACGATCTTAGTACCAATTCTGATATACCACTCTTTGAACAAAACTAAAAATTTAACCTTACTATAATTTTACTAGTTGTAATATAGTCACTTGGTAACAAAATAAAATAATAAGTTTTCTTTTATTATTTTATTAATTAAAGTTAGTTATATTCATAACTGCAAACGCAGTTTGACAGGAATAAAACTAAATTTAGTTTAGTTTGTTCAGTAGAATTGCTATAGATGGCCTGAAAATATTTTAGTTAAGCAAATAAAAGTGGTTATTTTATAAGGGTCTTATCCTAAATGCTGGTCCAATGCTGATCGGAGGGTATTTATTAGTGATGTGCCGAGTCGGCTATATTTGGTATTCGAGTACTTTGGTACTCATTAAAAAAAGGATCGTGTCAGTATCCGAGTCAGAAGAGTCGGGAAGGTATTCGAGTACTAGCACAAGTATTCGAATACTTCAGTGGACTCGTGTATTATTTGAATCAAACTTTGTAGTTTGCATGAGTTTGACGACAACTACATAATATAATGAAGCTATAATCAGTCATTTAATCATATTAATCATACTTTGATAATTAGAAACATTTTTAAAAAGTTCTATAGAATCACGCAAAGCAAATCTTGCTTTTATAATTTTAATCTTACTAAAATTCTTGAAACTGTAAATGACTTTAAAATAAACAATGATATGTATATAAGAAAATAAACAAGAACACTTATGTTAAAAACTTTAAGTTACGTCGTTGACGTAAAAATCTTCTATAAAATTATTAGTAATCAATTAATAATTTGATAGAAGAATACCGTAAGTACTCGAATCCTGTACAGTGCCTGCGTATCCGAATTCTGTATTTTAAGTACTCGAGAACCTGAGTACCTGCAAGGTATTCGAGTAAGTACTCGAGTCAGTCTGACTCGGCAAATTTTTTTACTAGGCACATTTATGACTGCAGATGCACACGGGACAAACCTAAGCGTTCCTTACGAAGCACGGAGGAACTCGAGATAATAATTTTTTTTGGTATATACCTAAACTAGACAAAATTCTTATCTCCGACATAATAACAAATGCTATTGACATACTCAAAGCAAATATTATTTTATCTGGTTGTGTAAACGTTCGGATTATATTGTACTCCTTTTATCTCAATGAATAAGGGTAAGTTAATTGATTTTGGTATCGTATATGTGTTACTTGAGACGTCATAAAAAGAGGAACGGATTTTATTTAGAAATAAATGAATATGTGTCAAGTTTCATATGTGTATTGACTAGATACTGGTATTTAATGTTACACTATAACTCTATTTTCATATAAAAGAGGTCCTGTTATTGCAAGTCTTAATTTAAAACAAATACTTAGTTTATAGGTGTAGCGGGATGCTCGGTTCGCTCGCTTATTTCTTCTATATATTAAGATGAAAAATCGATAATAGTATTATAAGTTTTTTCCTTATATTGATTAATTGATTGAATATACTTTATTGCACTAAAATAAACACATGAAACAAAAATGAAATAAAATATATGCGATGATTATGAAAATTCTATCACCTAAGGGAAGCGAAAATAGCTAGTTATGACATAAAATAAGTTAATCTGAGTAAATTTTCTTTTGGGCCCCTGCTTGAGAGCATGGTAGGTATGTATTTAAGAGATATATCTATAGGAACAACGACATTAAATTATTGTATTGCCATATATATAGGTCCGGAGGCCTGCCTTTGACATTTCGTAAGTATGTATGACCCTGATGAATCTTACTACTACTATTAGAACAATGTATTGTTATTAAGACAAAAACGACCAAACCGACCGACAGGTAATTAACATATGAAAAGACAATAGCCACGGATGCTTGGTTTTCGTCATCAAATGAATTTTTATCTCAGTTTAAGGTTGAAATTGTACTTCAAAATCCACGTGGTCGACGTATAGCTGACAACAGAAAAATGCGTATGCGTGTGTTTGTATTTTTTTAAATTTAGTTAGTTCTCCTTATTCAATAGGCCTCTTAATGTACTTTGTGAGCTCTTTTCGTTTATTTATGTTTGTTGCTAAACTATTTTATTTAAATAGTTAAAAAATAGAATCAAATATCTTACCGAACCATGAAGCCTGCGATTCGTTTAAAGATAGACCTTCTGGCGCATTGAGAAGGTCAGGCACGGCTATGGTGGCGAAGCTAATGGCCATTCCAAGGTCGAGCAGAAGAAGATTTGGTGCCATACATGCTAGTAGCTGTAATAAAATATAATCAGTATCAGCCTATTATGTCACCAACCGCTAAATCAAACAATGTCTCTAGTAATATAATAAAGAGCAAAGATTTGTTGGTTTGGTATTGGATAGATTATAAACGTTCTTACATTTAAGGGAAACTTATCTTACGCGGGTGTTATAGACTAAGAATTTACGTGGGTAAAGTCACTGGAAAATATATATTTAGTCTTTTGTAAAGAGGACAATTATTTTGATAAAAAAGAATTTCTTTCATTGTCGTTACACCGAAAAATTACTTGAAGATTATGATCACTATCCGTTACAATTGTAAAATTAAAAATCGAAAGAAATGATTTAACATATTTTTGGGTTCTTTATCAATAAAGGAAAATCAGAATCCTGTGGCTTAACTATACCTTTTGAGGCCCGTGGCAAATTGATCTGTCGGTCTATTTTTTTTTACTAATCGTGTAATAATAAATGTCAGGAGTAAGGAGTCTCCTCTTACCGGGGGCTTCCAGCTTGGCCAGGGGGCCCGTGGCATTTTGCCGATTTGTCACTCTCTAGTTATGCTACTGTCAGAATCCTTCTAGGATTACTCAATACATCATAGTAACGGAAAACTCAGTCACACGATCAAGGTCAATCTTAATAGATAATGTATTTACTTATTAACACATAGCAGATACTTGTCGTGTATACAGTTGAGCAGCAATAAGTACTGCTGTTAAGTAAGTGTAAGTACACAGTCAGGTTTTTAGTAAGGTATAAACTTATAAACCCACATTAACACTCATATCTGTTGAGAGAGGTAATTATGTACTTCAGGATATGTCATAATTTAAGCAGATACTTGTCTAATTAGCAGGGGATATTATACTGTTAATTAATATTTGATGACCTGCGTAGCCAAGTGGTTCACACGCCGGTTTCAAGGCGCCATATTTGAGGTCCCGGGTTCGATGCCCGGTCGGGTCAGTATAGCAAATGAACTTTTCTATATTGTCTCTGGTCTGGATGTTATGTTACCTTCGTTGTCTCAGATACTCCATAAAACGGGGGCTTTAGTTACTCATATTGGAATCTGAGCAATGTATGTGATGTTTATTTCAATATTTATTTATTTATATGTGAAAAAAATTAAAAAAAATTAAACGAAAGAACTCCTTTGTGTTAATTATGGTTTATTTTTCACTTTAAAAAATATTTATTTATTATATCGTGTAAAATACCTGACACTTATACCCGGTTTCTGAATTGAGAATTTGAAGTTGAGCACGTCTCCAACCGCGCTTAATCCATTTTAAACGTTAATTAAACAGCTATTTTTTCGTGTTTAAATTAAGAACATTTTGTTTGAACTAATGAAAAAACATTAAGTTGAATTTATAATGTATATGTCGTAGAAATCTGGGTACAACTCGTAACATAAACATTCGTCCAATTAGGCGGCTAGCTCTTAAATAGAATAACGCCATTCATTTTCATGGCTAAACGTTGATTGGCCGAGTAACCAACACAACGATTTTTTACAGTGCGAGTGCATGCAAAGCCCAGGAAAAATATTGATTTTGTTAAATGGTTTTTTTGTAGGTTATTAATTAAATGATAGATGCCCAACTTCAAGAGCAATTTCTTGAATCAGTCGCTTTTGAAATAAGTATTATTATCACATTTTAAGTTTGATATGAGTTATATTTTTTGAAAATAAAAATATATTTTTCATGTTTTTAGGGATATTCATATTTTTTTTTATAATAAGTAGCACTAAAAATATTAAATATCTATATAAAAAATATTCAATATAGTGAAAGTCTTGGGAAAGGCGATTTTGTTTATTCGCTCGAAATTTTTTTTTCTAATAATTTGATAACTACTTTGTTTGTATTGGAATTAGCTCCGAAACTGTTGGACCGATTATAAAAGTCTTTTTAAAGGGAAACTTCATAATACGCGGGGGACACGGGCCATAATTTACGTAGGCGAAGTCGGAAACAGCTAATTTGATATTATTTTATTTGAGGTTCGCAATTCAAAAAGAAATCAATGAATAGACATAAACATGTCGTCAATTCGAAATTTACATAAAACTTAATTGCAAACTGAAATCAACACAAAATTATTGAACCAAACGAAAACGAAATTTAGTTTAGAATAAACACCATTTAATAAAGTAAAGCTTAAAGTTCTATATTATCATCATCACCAGCATATTAATATCCCCACTGATGCATATTAATGTCCAGTGTGGATTGGTGAGTTTTAACGACTGCAGATATAGCCGAGACCAACGGCTTAGCGTACAGGCTTAGAAGGAACGGGACAAAGTTTATAGTCAATAGTTGTAGTAGTCAACAGATGTAGGTAGGTATTCAAAATTTATTTATTTAATCATCTTCGCACAAACCGTACAAATGGCGGACTTAATGCCAGTAGGCATCCCTCCCCTACACCTTTTCGGTACGCCCGTGCCTATACTTTTATACTATCTTATTATAGACAAAATGCCGTGTCGTACCAAGTAGTCTAGCCGATTGCTGAAAATAGGGCTAAGGGCCATATTGAATAGATTGATTAATCACTACAGAGGTACCCTTAAGTCGGGTTGTCAGGAAACAATAAAGTTCTATGTGCAAACTAGATTTATAATGTATCTGTTGTAGTGCGGCATCACGGTACTAAAATAAAAGTTAGTTTGAAAGTCTTTTGAACTCAGATACATGATACGTCTCGTTGTATAAAATACCTATGTATTTTTTTTAACGTCAATACTCTGGTTTACGTTTAGTTAGATGGGGGGAGGGGGGGTCGGAGAGGCACAGACTCGGCATCAAGTGATCTTAAAGCCCTATTTCAAATACAAACAAGGTCACAGTTAACTTATAGCTATTTTCGAAGTTTTTTAGTAAATAATGTAATGACATTTTTCTATATTTAATCAATTAATTCTATTTATTGATTTCTCAAACGGTTTCATCGTCGCGTTTGTTATTTTCTTTTATGTCGTTTCAGATACTTTACAGATTCCGTGTTCACATAAGATTAAGGTGTTTATTGTCTTTGTAATTAAGAATATAGCGACCTTCAACCTTTGTATGGAAACGTTTACATTTATTAAATAAAGTAATTTAAAAAAAATTTATTTTCACATTTATTTACCCCTGGCTACCGTAAACTACCACCAATTCCGAATTAGGGGTCTTGTTTGAGAAATACTGGCGAAAAAAACTTCAATAAGAAAAGTGAATTGCTCCCTTTTATTTAATATTTACAGAATTACAAAAAGCGAAGCAGCTATAATACAGCCAATATTTATTCTGCATTATATAATCTAAGTTCTGCATTATTCACAAGTCTAAATTAGTGATATATTTTGAGATCAATAAGCATAAATCCTTGCTAAAATATAGTAGTTTCTCAATGCGGACCTGTACTTTTTAGTATCATTGGTCACAATATCAAAAGATGTCTTATTAAAATATTTTTATTTTTATTAATGGTCGGTGCGTGATATTTTATTTGAATACAGACATGAGCAAATCTGTCTTATAAATATGACATTTAACCTTCCACACTCGACGGACTTTTGACGGATGACGGAACGAAACTCGGCTTGTCGGATTCCGGGGCCTATATCCAATCGGGAGAGTATACCGTAGAATATTAGTTGGTGACGGCCGAGGACCCACCGGGCGGACATGTCCGCCCGGTAGACCCACGGACGAAGATCCTACATACCGTTGGACAGGCGACAGTGCTGAGGGTAAAACTAATGGGTAAAACATTTTCCCTACTTCAAAAAAAGATTTCCCTAATTTATAAACAACAAAATTTATTAGAGTTTAGCAGCCCAAAAAGGCAGGAAGTTGTTATTACTGCTTAGCATAGTTAATTAAGTTTATTTAATAATTCACTATGGCAAATTAAAAATATACGAGTATATACTCTTTTTTCATTGATCTTGTGCATTATCATCTATATTAATATTAAAATAAGAATTTGTACTTTAGTTGATTAATCATAAATTAAGATACCGGTTTTATTCAATGTTTCATTAGTAGAATTTTATACCTATTATTATTGACTGACATTATATATTATATCCTACATTTTCATTTAAAAAAAAATTATTACTTACTTGTGACACGACTGACTTAAATCTGCTTTTGGACGGCGTCACTGGATCCAACTGTAACTTCTGCACCATTTTCACTATTTTTTTTTATATGAGACTTAATAAATATTAACTATATTTGCTTAAAAAGGAAGAGGTTTGTTTTACGTAGCATTTTATTTATACATAAATCTGTTTAAATTTAGAAAAGAAAGTTGAGAACAGTTAACCATAACCGTATTTTTTAATAAAAAAGGCGGAATATTGATTTGTTTGTCTATGATTATTCACACTTATGGAAGTCGCGGAGCACTGTGACAATGCGCTCACTTCTTGTAACGCAAACCGAACTACTGGCCCGGTTACTTATTATGAAATAACTCATGCGCTGAGTTTAAAACTGCCTATTGCTTTTGCTTTAATAGTTTTTTTGATAAATTTCAATATCAATGATCAAATAGAGTAACTCAATTGTGAATCCTTATTATCTACCATCGTTAAAAATAATTATATATTTCATTAAATAATTTGTTGTAACAAGATAAGTTCATTGTTTTATTTGTAAAAAATATTTTAATAGGAAAATTACTTCATAGTTGAATAGAGTATTTTTTTCAAAAGCAGCCATTGCTGATTTTCTTGCCGGTTCTTCTTAGTACAAAGTCTCCCGGCGTAGATTTACGAATCGATAGTTAATTCATTTGATGTTCATATGTGCTTCCTTGCAATTATTGCCTCGATAGAATTCATTTATTTATTCATTTACCAATAATATAGTAAAATAATAGTATTCGTGTATATATACTTGCTTTTTATATATTTTCCAGGCCAGATATTGCATTAGTCGTAAACAAAAACTTTGGATTACAATCAATTTATTTTTCATGTAAATAAAACGAAGTTTTTTAGTTTTCTAATTATATAAATGAAAGTTCATTATGATTTTAAATCTTAATTGAATAACATTTTCTTACAATAAATATTTAAATTAGCAAAGAAATTTATTGATTAATTCCGTTTAAAAAAAACAGTTCATTTCTATTACTCTGCTATGTGCTCGTCGAAAAGTTGATGCAATTTGATGATAACAGAAATATATACTGCGAAATACATTTATTATACAAAACCTTCAATAAAATGTAACGGACGGAGTGTATTTACTAGCATGTTACTTATTTTGTTATGTGGTGAGTGCGTTTGTAGTATTATTTGAAAAGAATTTGCAGTTTGAATACACCATAATTTACAGAAACATTGGAAAGTAGGTAATCAACTAGGTGGGTATGGCTGAGAAAAGATGGCTTATGGTAAATATTGCGGATAGACTAGGATAGCCATCCCCGAGGTCATGGGTCCCGTGCCCGGTCGGGTTAATGTAGAAAATGATTTTTTCTATATTTTTTCGAGTCTGGGGTATTATTGTACCATCGTTGACTCAAATCTTCATAATACGAGAGCTATAGCTACATGTTATGGAATCTCAGCAATGATTGTGACGTTGTCTAGTCTTATTATAATTAAAAATATACAAAAAAATCACTTAAATATCAATCTTTTTCTCAAACTCAATGAAATAAAACAACCTAAAACTTTTTTCATTAGTCAAATATTTTGTTTGACTTTGATTATACTGATGTATACTTTGTTTCATTACGATAATTGTATTTGTTAAAATGTTATTAAAAACTCTTAATTATGCAATAATATCTGATAATTACATACAAACAATATTATCTATAACTTGTTTCAATAATATTAAAATTATTTTTCAGTATTGTCAGCGTTGCCTCGAGTTCAGCTGCATTTGACATACGTAATTGAGTTTTTTGTTATATATAAATTATAGCTTGATAATTAATTATACGTCGAATACCTTTGGAATTAGGTCAGTGAATTGCTTACAATGCTTGCAATAAGTTGATTTGATGATAGTGTACAGGTACACCTAATTGTAATATATGATTTAATTCAAGAGTCAGATATTTTTGCAATTGAACACAATGATATTACAATAAAAAAAAGGTATGTAAATATTTTATGTGGGAAAAAGACTCAAATAATATTACCCTTATATCTAATACTACTGGGACTAACATGAAAACAAAAGCAGATAACTTTAAAATAAGAAGTATTTCACCAATCCTATGATCGGCCCTTTCGAAAGTTGCTTAATGCTAATCATTGTGCCATTTTCCAATTCTCACTTGTGCAAACAAGTATCGTTGCATGATATGGGAGACTCGAGAAACGCTCGAGAGGCTCGAGAAACGAGTCGACAGTGAGACAGGGCATTAAATACGTCAGTATGAAAAAGTTTGAAATTAAGATCTGTTCTTAGCAACCATGTCATCGATATTAGTGATAAGATTCAAGCGAGATAAGCGAGAGGGCGGACCCAGTGTGGAATTTATGGTGTTACTGTCTTATCTACAAACAATAATTTATGGTATTGTACTTTCTCTTGTTATATAGTGATATTATTTTATAGTTTAATATTAATCACGATTCTATTTTTGAAATAAGGATATGGGAGCTGATTTATATAGCTTTCCTATATTTAGCTTTCATAACAATAACTTATTTATTGAACTAGTAATTATGTATTCACACTTAATGGCTATTTGTGATAATTGCAATCGTCATTGCAAATAATTGTTATCTCAGTCAGACAGTATTTTATAAAAACTAATTTAAAGGCACCTGTGTGTTCTACTTGAGGTCGCAAATGATGTTTATATTGTACATTGATAAATATACATAATGCTTGACCGGTTACGAGTAAGCGGTTAACATTTTGAAAGTTACATTTAATAATTATTTATTAAATGTACCTAACATTTTTATAAACCTCATTTAATTAAGAACATTAACAAATTTAGAGAAATATGGAGAATCATAAATATTTTTTGATTAAACACTTTAAAAAATTGTCTACTATTTTCACATCCACATACAGTCAGTATCAGCATTAGTACAGAGGCATTGAAGAATATTAAGTTATCTTGATTTCCATGATTTAAATTCCATGATAATTTCATATTATGGAATAAAATTCCATAAAAGTTTATTTTCCAAGCGTAGTAGAAATTTAAATACTTATATGGGCACTCTGGATCTAATTAATGTATGTGAATAATGTAGCTCGGTGGCATAGTGGATATGCGCCGCGGCACGCGATCGTTGTCGTTAAGCAACTTTCGCAAGGATCGGTCACGGGATGGGTGACCAAAAAATTATTATCTCGAGCTTCGGAAGTCACATTAAGCCGTCGGTGCCGGCTGCATTTTTAGTCATTAGAACCCGCCAATCCGCATTGGACCTGCGTGGAGGGTCATGGCCCACGCTTCTTAACCATCCATAAGGAAGGCCCGAGCCCCTGTAGTGGGGACGAAATAAGGAGCTGATGATGATGATGATGATGTGATGTTGTCTAATATTTATTGAACAGCCGATAAACTACTGCAATATGGCTACCACGTGCATTCATGACAACCGCATGGTCTGCGCTTCAACTCCCGACGGATGCAGTCGACGCAGTTTCATGGACCAGTGCGACATGTACGAGTTCAACTGCGATTACGGCACTCGTAAGTATAATCCAACGATCAATTAATCTAAATTAACAATTTCTCTCAATATTTAACGTCAACGTATTATTAAAGTCAACTTGAATACGCCCGTCAAATTTGGAGCCCTAATTACTCAGTTCATATCTCCAGGTTAGAGAGAATTCAGAGAAAATTCACCAGATTCCTATGCTATAAGTTTAAAATTCCAGTAATGCCATACCGTGATAGTTGTGTTCGTTTCCATCTTCTTCCCCTTGAGGTCCGTAGGAAAATCTCGGATGTGCGTTACTTCTCTAAAATAGCGCAAAATAAAGTCGACTGCCCTGAACTGGTTGCAAAAATTAAATTAAATATACCACCTCGACACTGTCGTCCTAGAAATTTGTTCCATACTCCATTTTCACGTACAGTTCACCGTAGCAATGCCTTTCTTATTCGCGTGTCTAAATTAGTTAATGCCACTAACAAGGGTCAAGATACTTCTCTTGACATATTCTCGGACAGCTTGTCATACATAAACGCAATTATAGCCAACTCCCATAGTGCTATTGATTGATATTTATTATTTATATTGTTTTATGTTCTCTAGTTTGGTGATTTTGACTTTATGTTTTTTGCACTTCAATGTATTTAAATAACATTGTTCTTTACTAAGGTCAGAGATATTTGTTTATTGTTAAATTTACCGCTATCTGTGGAGGCTTGTCATTTGCTCTCATCAAATAGTTTGTAAGTTACTTTGTAATTCAAGCAGTTAGCCACCCTAATAAAATAAAATAAAATAAACTCTCTTTCACTCTCTCTCTTTGGAAAAGTCATTTGTTTTAGTAAATTTAAAGGTCTTAGATTTGGAAACAATATTTCAAAAATATGTTGTATATAGAATGTCTACAGTTTTATTTGCAACCCGCTGGTGCTTCGATATTTGCCTATAATAAAATACACTCTTTTCTTGGGTAGTCGTTTAATAAAAAGTAAAAGTAATCAATCGAGAGATCTTATTCCTACACATCGGTTTGAAATCAGTTTAGACAAACGTTAATTTAAAAAATTGCCGGAAGAAAGCGTTCATGTTCAATTTATTGTGTTAACGATAAAGAGCGTATAATTTGTAATTTTATAAGATTATGGAATTCTGTTTTAACGTTCTCAAAAATAGATAATTGGAATAACACTCATATTAAGAAGTCTCTGAAACAACGAAGGTTCAATAACACCATAGACAATACATAAACTTAATTTTCTACATTGAACCGATGGAGAATCGGATCCTATGATATGCCCATATCTAAAAACCATGTGCAAACAACTCGACTATGATGTTTGTTCGCTACTAATTAAAGATACATGAAACTGGTAATAAATATCCTTGAGCTGTAACGCTTCGGCCTCTCATTCTCTTATTAAAGTTAGGGCAGAATACCAGTGATTTGCTTCCTATCGTAGGCGGGCAAATCGTATGCTGAGCACTAACCTTTTTGTAATGCTGCAAGTCACAGTTGATTTTGATTTTAATTCTACTTATTTACTTTTTATCTTGTTCTGGTATACATTTAAATTGGTTTATTTATAGTTAAAATACATGTTAAAGTACTGTATATGTAGACCTGAAGTTCATATAAAAATATGACTTTGGAGTTGTAATTCGTAACGCATATCTAAAGCAAATTATGAATATAATGAAGAGTTACTGTATCAAGAATAAACACAGAACATAGAGAGAGAATAGAAGTAGTAAGTGGGCGGGGCAAGCGTCGCTGGCATATGCGCTTTTACTCATATGACGCCCTTTCCTCGGTTTTATATTTGTCAGTCGTTCGTCAATCGTCGAGTGGTGATTTTACTGATTTTTTCTATCAAAAATACCGTTTTGTGCTATTATCACTTGCAAAAAGCAAAACAAAGTATACAATCTAACTAATGCAAACATTTCCTTTCACTGGTAAGTACAATTTTAGTGCTAATATATAAAAAACGTAATAATTTGACACAATTTCAAATAAAATATACATTGTTTGCTCAAACCAACATTAATGTTTCTAACCCCGTTTCTAGACAGCAATGTAAATCATATTGTGCACTTTTGCAAAAAATAGTGCTGTGCCTCCTGAAAATAAAAGATGAATTGATACTGAACAGATGAAATAATGAACTATTCAGGCACTTTTTTACGAAGATTCGGTTAATTATTTACACGCAGATAAACATTAAAAAATACTGATGTGCTATAAATATCTAGAAAACTGGTGAAACTGGATTTTACTTATTTTGCATTAGGTACTTATATTTCAGTTTCCCTAATAACTTTACAACGGATTGCCCTGTTTACATAATTTATTTTGTCCTATCCGTTTTAGACCTAAACCTATCAAATGAATTTCAAAACAACATATTATCTATACAAACAAAAAATCATGTTTTCAAGTAACGTAATATTGTTGGTGGTGTGAATTTAATTTACAAAATTAATTTATAGGCGTTAATTTAATTTACTTTATTATGCTGATTCATAATCGGAAACCATTATTATAGAAATCGAGTTAAGATAGCCACTTTAAAGAACCGCCCACAGAACAGTTTTTATTATTTTTTTTGTTGCTTCATATTTGCACATAAGTTTATAAACGCATGTCTCAAACGGATGTGACTTTATATGTAGATTGACGTTTGTACGTAAGTACTTATCGCTTTTGTGTCTGTCTTCAAACTTTTTTGTCACGGCTTTCAAACTCATACTTGACCAGCGATTCCTTATTGTCCAGTCGTTGCAATTAAAAATGTAGGTACTACTATTATTACAGTTATAAAACTTAGAATAATAAAGTAAAACAAACATGGCTATGATCAATTTATTATTGTAATGATCATATTAGTTATAATGAATCGCTTTTGAATCGTCCAAAAATTTTTTTTCCCCTACCACTTGTTCAGGACGTCTTAGCTGACAAGAAGAACAAGCGAAAGAAACTTACCAGCCCTATGATATTTACATAAATCATGTCGTTTCATATCTTATCACAATAAATACAACTTTCAAAGTCTGTAGGACATAGGTTGAACATATAATTAGTCTTTATAGAACAAAGCGAAGGCTATTAATGCATGGACATTGCGATTCTTAAAATAATCATCAACTTTATAATAGCCTTTACTCATAAGTATGTTCATTACATGAATTTTAAATTTATTTATGGGTATGTCAACTACGAACTTTATTGAACATAGCAATGCATTTATCCAGAAATGATCCTCTGGTTATCTGAAGTCTGAAGCTTGGAATGGCAAGTTTATTTTTATTTCTTGTGTTAAGATTATTAACACTACTTTTTTTTGTGAAGAAATCGTAATGTTTTCTTGCGTAGATAATATTTTCATTGATGTATTGAGAGGCAACAGTCAAAATATTTATTTCTTTAAATATTTCTCTGAGAGATTCTCTAGACCGTAAATTATATATAGCATGGACAGCTCTCTTTTGTAGAATGAAAATATCTTGAATGCTAGCCGCAGAACCCCACAACAATAGATTATACGTCATTAAACTATGAAAATAACTAAAATATACCAATCCTGCCGTTTCAACATTTGTCAAGAGTCTAATTTTCTTAACAGCAAATGCTGCAGAACTCAGTCTACTTGACAAATTATCAATATGAGGATCCCATTGCAGTCGGGAATCTAGTGTAATACCAAGGAACTTTGTCGATTTCAGCAACTCAACTTTTTCACTATTTACATTTATAAGTGTATTAATATGCCTCACATTAGGTGATGCAAACTTTAAGTATTTCATTTTATTTGAATTAAGCTTTAAATAATAACTATCAAACCACTGTAGAACATTGTCGAACTGAATTACATTTAACTGTTTCATAACAAAATTTAAACCTCTTATTTCATCAACTAATATTATATCACATCACTAATATGCACAATCGGAATGATACCAGTAAGAAAAAATTACAAATTAGGCTTAATGTAATTAATACAAAAATTCTGTTGGTTTCTTAATTTTTGTTTTTTTTTTTTACACTTTCGCTCGCTTAATTATATTACTCCACAGACATATGATAGAGTTTATCATAAAGTTTTCTTAGTTTTTGTACTGGGTTTTTTAAAAGAAGTTATATAGGGAGAAGCGTTATTTTTCAATATTCACTTGGTTACAGCAAAATCTAATCTTAATAGTTCGCACATAAAATGATGTCCCCAATTTTTTTAAATGTGCATAATCTTAAAATATTTTTTCCGTTCTGGTATCCCTGTATACAGCCACGTGACAGTTCAACATTCATGTTAAAGTAAATTATTTATTATCACGTTGAATTAGAGTTTGTTTTTAATCGTGTGATTTCTTAGCTTAGTATCTTTTTGGGATTCTGTTTATGTTATCACGAACGTATCGCGTGGCAGTTTTTCATGTAGTGAACAAAATGATCATTTCATCTAATCTGTATTTGTGTGCGGAGAGGCGACACTCGGTTCCCATACTAAATCAATATCATTATACTTCTATTCTCTCTCTATGTTCTGTGAGAATAAAGCTAGATTTTTATGGTCAATTGCTATTATCTTGTTTGTACTCTGTATTTGACTTAACATTATAACGCTGATTTCATTTATAATAAGTTTGCACTAAAAACGAACAACCAACACAGGCAAATAAATTTACAATGAATTGGTACACTTAAGAGAAAAAATCTAATATTGCAATTCGCCTTTGCACACAATACAAAGGTTAAATTTCTCTTTTTAAAATCGAAAAATTATTATAGTTTGTAGTTGTCATTAAAAATCCAATCTAATGATTTTGATGAAACATAAAACAAAAAAAAAGGCATTTTAATATTCGTTTTTAACATAAACATAGTTTTTGATAAAAATGAGTTAAAAAAATATTAAATCTGTCATTTTGTGGAATTCGTTGTATTTGATTAGTAATAATACTTAGTTCTATGATTCTAATATATATTTTTAAATAACAATAGGGTTTTTAGTTTTTATATTTTTAACAAAGCTGATTAAAAAAATATATAACTTGCAATAAAACCTAATACTAAAAGAGTCACCAACAGCCAACGTTTTAAATTACTCATGATTATGCCTAATCCACTAAAGTTAATTGTGTAATTAAAGCTTATGATAAATTAAGCCGTTTTCACTATTCTACAGTTAACCTTTGTTATCAGTATGCAAATTTTTCCTATGGTTAATACTTTATGTATTGTTAATACGTTGTTACATATTCAAATATTAAAATTAATAATTTTATTACAATTTTAACATTTATTACCATTTTGATGTTAATTTTAAAAGAAACAAAGAACTGATTTATTTTTATACAAAAAAAAATTATCGACCTCAATGTTAATAGATCAAGTAGTTAAAAAGTGTTGACAAAAAAGAGAAAAAGCGTGAATATGATTTACAGTTCTATACTGCAACATTAAATTTTAATTTAATAGAACAAATTTTTTCTGGACAATCTTTATTTTGTAAAAGAAAATCACTAACTCGTGCAATTATAGTAAACTAGAATTAACCAGTTGTAACTTGATATTGTACACATGAAATACGCAATTCATAAACAAATTTAGTAATACAAATAATACTCCTTTTCAATTCAGCATTTAAATGTTTGTCTCTGCTGTAACTTTGATTTTTTTAAATATAAATTTAATATAATTTTGAACTTTTGTTACCAAGGAATGTCAACGTACTTAATTTCTGGGCAAGATTGTCCCATCGTAGATCTCGATTCAGTCCAAAGGCATGAAACTTGCCTAGAGAGACGAAACCTGTTCAGTTTTGCCTCAGATAGATCTGGATTATATGCATTTGGGTATATAGCGTTTATTTTATAAAATACTAGCTTTCCGCGAGCGGATTCGCCGCGTGTTCTTGATACATAAGAACCTTCTTTTTGAATCACCCTATCCATGAAAAAAACCTCATCAAAATCAGTAGCGTAGTTTTAAAGATTTAAGCATACTTAGGGATACTTATGATAAAAAGCTGATAAGTTTCTTTCGCTTGTTCTTCTTGTCAGCTAAAAGACGTCCTGAACAAGTGGTAGGGAAAAAAGTTTTTTGGACGATTCAAAAGTGCTTGTAATAGCCTACTTGAATAAAGATATTTTCATTTCATTTCATATAAGGACAGAGAAAGCGACTTTGTTTAAAACCATGTAGTCATTGCATTCACAATGCTATTTCATATTCATAACTTAAAAAAAAAGCCTTATTCAAAACAACTAACCCACTCTAAACAGCAGCATATTTGATAAACTACAACATGTGAATTTTATGCATAAATTGAACTTAGATTAAAGTGTATTTCACACAGTTGAAAACAACACTTGTTGGAACGCTAATTTTCAATCATGTAATCACTCCTTAAAATCTATTATGTTCTGTGGGTGGCACCATCAATTCATTTAAATTAATGTGAAACGCTTTCAGAATGCTAGCAATTTTCTCCCGATTTCGCCTGAGTAAATAATATTTCTCCTGTAACTTTGCGTAGGTGAAAGAATTTTTTAATTCCGTCAAGTATTTTCGGTGCCTATTCGACGTATACAAACAATCAAATCATTCCTCTTTATAAAATTAGTATAGATCCACTTTTGATTTTGTTTGAACTAAATTAATTTAAGTTTTTATCTTAATTATCTTTCAGAGTACATGACGAAAGTAACGACCGCGTGTGGAAACAGTCAAGTCGATTTCTCGTGCTGATCCAAGATTATTTCTTATCATTTACTGAATAAAGTTATTTTCATCATGTACATTTTTATTTTTCTTCAATGCATCCTATATTCATATTTTTTTTATAACACCAATACTCAGATTAAAATTAAATATTTATATTAAGGAAAATTATCACAATGCTATCATTGTGTGTGAGTGCGAAATTGATAAATAAATAAGATTTACGTAATACTATTGACAACCCTGATAGGACAACCCTGGTTATATACTTTTTAAACAAAACATGAATTCATATTTAAATCGTTCCACTTTTATCAAATCGTAGGATATACAGATAAAATTAAAATGACATTGAGATGAATTAAGAACCTCTTTCTTTTATAAATTTGGTTAAATTTTCAGGTTATCAAGAAACTTATATACTCTTGTGTTCAGCATATTCGAAAAGTTCTCAAGGTAATTATGTAATAATAGGGATTTACAATAAATAATAGGGTAATTGATGGTGCAGTAGTTAGCGCGATTGATGTATTGCAGAAGTTAAGCAACTTTCGCTAAGGGTCTTACCAATAAGTACAATTAATTTGATAATATAAGAACTTCAAAAACTGACCAATGATATCAGTCCGTGGAATTAACGAGGTTTATTCGAAATACTTCTTATAAATTTTACATTCAATTTTGAAATATTTTTAGTAACAATGTTGATTAATCTGAAAACATTCCAATATGATACCGACGAAATATGCTAAATCTGAAGCAACAACAATGATATACCAATTTTTTAACATAAAGAAATTCTTTTAAAATTACTCCAGGCATTCAGCTGCGGAGGTAAAATAGTAGATAAAATGAGACATTTGAATACAGAAGATTAACATTTATAATGACAATATGTTAATCTTAGATTATAATTAATTATCTTTTGGAGTATTTACACAGACGACAAAGTAATGTTGTAATCATCATAAAACTGACGTATTTAGAATTATTCCTTTTACTATTGTAATTGTAGGTACTAACCTTTCAATATTCCAACACATGATATCAAGTAATTAATTTATTTTGATTGACAGCTACCATCATGACTACATTCTCCCCTACCACCACTCCTTTAATAATAACTACTGGTTCATTTTCCTCGACAACAACTAAAAGTATTTATTCTCAAACTACTACTGAGATGACAACCTCTCCGACTACAACTACAAATATAACAGAAGACACTTATAATATTTACGAAGATGACCGTATACCAAATACTACTAAAATTCAAACTTCTCCGAATACTTATTATTCAAAAGTCAATTCAACACTAATAAACGATACGTCCGACGCAAATGATACTTCTATTATGTGTTGTCATAGACCCAAAACTTGGGAGACAACAAGTAATACTGATAGAGTTATAATATATATTGATGAAAGTAATGCGCATATATCTTCAAACCTAATAGAGAGTTCTACTATAGAAATGAATACCCCAGCAAATATAACTTACAGTAGGGCCACTGCAACTTATAATACTAAGATAGAAATACAGGAGACAACAAAAAACATTGATACTCTTACAAATTACATAGATTCTAATACTATTTTAGATTACGGGGTAGATGATGAAACGAATAAAAGAATATCCACTGATTATATAAAAACTTCACAAACATTCGATAATATTTCCCATACAATAAATGCTACTACTACTGAAGAAAATTTACCTTCGATTACCGTTACCGATCATATCACTTTTACTAATTGTTGTGATAGGTCGTCTATAATAACAAAAGAGACCCAAACAACTGACTCAAACACTTTGATAACAATACAAACAACGACAGAAAACGAATCTAAAACTATAGATACTTCTATATGCTGTGAAAGACCAAAGACTTGGAAAACTACAGAGCAATCTAAACTGCCACCCGTTACGTTTGATAATTCAACTTCAACAGTGAGTGAGACATTAGAAACAACTTGTTTTCCAGAGCCATGTAACTCCAATGAATTTAATGAATGTTGTCAAAGACCAAAAACGTGGGAAACTACAGAGGGAACAACACTGGCAGCTGTGACTTTCGATCTATCAACTTCCCACAAAACTCCGTATTATACAACAAAATCAAAACATAACGAAATAACTGATGAAATGACTGCGACATTTTATAATAGCATTGAAGACTCTACAATTATACATGATGTTACTTCTATTACTGAGTCTGTAACAATTAGTACCACAGAACTTCCTACAACTACTTATCCTACAACTACAGAATATAGCAGGGCCACTACAATAGAGACTGCGACGTACTCTCCAGTCGAAGAGCTGACCACCGATCCGTATTCTCATACTTCTAAGGAAGTATTAACTCAAAAGAACACTAAGGGTATTAGTCCAACAACTTGGTGGTATCCCAAATTCTGTAAATCTGACAATTGTAAACGACCCATTACATGGGAGACGACAGAACGCAGAACTCGTCGAAGGCGGTATTAAAATAGCTTGAAAAATATACGGTAAATATAAATTTGGTATTAGCTTTTATTAATTTTATAATGTTGACAATTCGTGTTTGTATTTTTTTTCAGAATTCCACTTCGCATCATGTAGTATCAAAGAATATAATTTCGCATCAAAATTTCTATTCGAGAAAACAGCATTATAAATATAGTTTATTTTCCAGTAGAAAATAAAGATAATTATGGCACACAAAGTGATTAGAGGCGGCGTGTGAAAATAATGGCTGCAATTGATTCATATCGTGTTGAATCACTTTTGTCTTTTAAGCAATGAGATGATATTTATTATATTGGTGTAAAGGTTTATGTAATAAATAAATGACTTTAAAATAACAAACAATTTATTGATAACAGTACAGTTTATATCACATTTATAATAATCTATTTATAAATTTATACAAACGAGGTAGAATTTCACTCTATACGCCAGAAGTAAATAACAGTCGTAGAGTCAACCAAAATAACTTCTAACAATAAGTCTTAAACTTACTAATTTTTAAAGGTAGGTTGCGGAAGTTATAATACCATTTATTCTAAGGAAAATCACCCCTTTTATTACTATTTTTCTCTCAAGCAATAAAATATAAGAGAAACAATATCATAGATCGAAAAATAAGTTCCTTTTCAATACCTATTTAATAGTGATGAAATACATGTCTCCTCAACTAAGGAAAAAGTAAGCAACTTTATAGTAATACATTTGTATTTATTTTTCTGAATATAAATTAATATAAGATTTGTCTTTAAACAACTCTATAATTCGGTTTAACAAAATACACTATTTTTATTTATTAAAACACAGTAGTAGTTCATGAATAAATTAATTACTAGTACCTAAATAATAAGATGGCAGTGATTTTTCTAGGACTATAAAATAACAATTATAAATAAATTTTAAACTATTTAAGTTTTCAATACATGTTTTTAAGGATACCAACTATTGTACTCACGCAATGGATGGATATTCTCGTCATATTATCAGCACATCATCTGATGATAAGGTTTTTTATATCAAAGTAGTATGATATATAAAAAAAATAATCAACATTTATTCACTTGTTTATTTTTTAATGAGACAATTGCAGGATATTTTTATATATCGAACCTAGCCGCTTGTTTATTTTTTAATGAGACAATTACAGGATATATCGAACCTAGCCGATGCAATTTTCAAATCAGATTGTTCTATCTGTATTCTCATACAATTTCAATATTTCCTAGCATCTATTTAAGTTGGGCAATAGTTGGAACACTGAATTATTTAAGGTTAATTAAAATTGCTACCAGATACCGCAGACAACATTACGTGACATTAAAAATAACACAATTTGGTTCTTAGATTATATTGAAACTAGTGGCAAAGAAATTTTTAATATCCATAACTAATACAAGGATGCTCTTTCGTTACTATCATTACGTTTCTTTCTAAAGGCATTAATAAGAAAGTCGTCTGCGAATATTTTTCTGTTACCTTTGTAAAAAGCTTCTATTTCTAACAGTGTCTTAGATTCGGTCTCCGGTAAAAAGAAATAAAGATAAACGGTCCCTATGAGGCCGAAGGCGGAATACAAGGCGAACGTACCACTAAGATGTAAATTGGCTTCAATGTTGTAATTAGTTTTGGACGACAGGAAGAATATAATGTAACTAAAAGCAGCAGCAAGACTCGTTGCAACACCACGGCTCCTGGAAAGAAATAATAAATTTATGATAGTTTTGTGGGGTGACATAAGTTGTTATGGTACTAAAGAGTTCTATTAGACAGAATAACACCCATTTTTATGATTGAAATGATATCCAGCCACATATTGCCACATTATTTTCCTTTTTTTTATGTTCCCAATTTTACTTATGGTACTCAAAATCATTGTTTAAACATTCAACTTTTCTAGGCCATGTCATCTTTCATACGATCATTATGTTTTGTGTTCTCCATTCCTCTCTCTATACGTAAATACTTTAAGGTTTTAAACACATTGTCAGTTGCCTTTGATGTTTTTTTGGAACTGTGTTGTTAAAAGCGCTATTTTTATATATTGCTTATTAAAAGTCCTTTCTTGGACTGATTTCTATTACACTTGTGAGCAAGCGACTAAGCTATTAAACTTGGGTTCTAAACAAATGTGTGTGAAATTGTTTTGGTAACTCATAATTGTTATGATTTTGAAAATTAACAACTTTTGAAATATAACAAGTTTACCTAAATGGAAACACCTCTGATAGCAGCACCCATGGTATTCCTAAACTGCTGAAGCATACAAGTAGAATAAATAGCAAAACTGGTAGGAAGCTTTTCTCTTCAGGGAAGGTATGTATCTCATAGGAGAACACGCTCGATGGTAGCTTCACCCCAGCATACACACTAATTCCAAGGCTGCAGCAACTCGTGGCGAACAGAGCTCCTAAAATCAGCTTGCGCTTCCCAATGAGCTTGACGATTATAGCAGAAAGGAGATTCATTGCAATGAAGACTGCTCCAGTTAAGACCTGAAAATTTAAAAAAGTTTTATAATAGGCATTCCAATGTATGAAACGTCGCTTTTATGTTTCGGTGATTTCTATCAATTATCTTGCGTCTGTGTCGAGATTTTTGTAAATCATATACATGTCTGCTAATAAATATCTTTACTTACTACAACAGCCTTAGGGTCGTACTTCATCCCCAAAGCGCCACACAGATTGACCATATTTGGTCTAATCGGTATCAGACCACTCATTGTGTGGAAAAAGAAGTATGCCATCACCAAGATAAAAGGTCTCAAGGTCTCTTTAACCAAAAATACATGTTTCATTTTCATAATTGTCCTTTTTAAAAAGTTATTTCCGTCATGTTCACACGGCCGCATATCAGATTTCCCATCTTTAACGCAAATTATGCATTGCTGGATAATATCGTTATAGCTGACGAGTTGATCGAATTCTTCTTTCACTTCTTCGGGTTTTGCCCAGCCTCGAAGTCGGCAAAGGGATCTCAGAGCTTGTTTTTGACGCCCTTTGGAAAGTAACCACACCGGAGTTTCCGGTACCTGAGACAAAAAGCAAAATGACGTTAAAACAAAGTCATGTACAAATTAATTCGATACAAAGGCATTTAAAGCTAGACAGCGAATTTATGTAAGTATATATTACAACAAATTCAGTGTTAATAGTAACAGTATTATAAAATAGTTCTAATTTTGGCTTACGCCCTTTTGAATCTCATCCCATTTCCAAGAACATCTAAATAGATCATGATAATATATTTAGACATTCTTGAAACTGCGATGGAATTAAGCAAGATAAAAGTTATTCCATTGTCTCTTATCATTGGAATATTATATTCATTATCATAATCTTAAATGTTCACAGAACAGAAATGCATTTTGGTGTTATTCTTTTAAGTAGCTAACTACATACTTAGGTAAGCATAATAAGCAGTCGAAAAATCTGACGTTTCTTAAAAACCGGAAATAATATAATAGTTTTATCTAATTCTAATGTGAAGTCACCATTTAATTAAGTTTCCTGGAGATGTCAGTAAATATTTCCGATTCGTACGTTTTAACCGTTCAAAAGTTCTGTAATGGGGAAAACCGACGACTTAAACTTATTTACGAAAAGTTATATGTTGGATCTTTTCGTTAAACAAAATTCGTATATTTTCTAATCAATATCTTAACAAGATATTAATCGGTATATATTATATTATATATATTAAAGTACCTAATTAGAACGTTATTTAAATTAAATCAGTCAAATTAAATTATCAGTTAATTTATCGTGATATCTTTGAATTAATTAGAATATTAACTCAAACCTGACTACTTCTTCTAGTTAACTGAATAAAGAATATCTATAAATATTTGGATAATATAATTCTATTCTAGTATGCCGCTGGATTAACCTTGCCTATTTATCTATAATGCTTATGGCATTGGATAAAATATATTGTAATATTATAGAAAACTAGGTCAGTGAGTACTTTGACATCAATATCATCAAAAAATAATATAACAAGCACCATAATAATCTTACCAACTCCTTAAACAAATTCCTTAATGTGTATCGAAAAATATAAGATTTTTTATTTTATTTATTATGTGAACAGTGCGTTGTATTATAGCTCGAAGGAGAAGACCGAAGGAGATCGATGGCGCTGTGATTAGCGCGCTTTTTTTTTCTGAAATACGATTGCTAAGCAACTTTCGCAATGGTTGGTTATTGCCAATCCCATATAAATTTTTAATCCCATTCCATTTGATTTTTCCCAAAAATGTATTATCTCGAGCGCCTCCGTACTGTGGATGGCACGTTAACTGCCACCAATACGCACGGGGCCCGCGTGGCGGGTCACTGCCCATTCTTCTTATTCGATTTAATTCGATTCTATCTTAAGGGAAGGTCTTTTTGTAAGCGCTGTTCTTAGGATCTCGAACTTCTCCGTGCTCAGGAGTTTTAAGCCGTTTGGATACCAAATACGCATTGCGCGTGGCCCATTCTCACCATTCCTTGTGATTTGATTCCATCTCTCAGGAAGGCTTATGCCCCAGCAGTGGGAACATACAAAGCTAATGATGATAATGTTGAATATAGTTTTTATTACCGGAAATAGGATCAAAGAATTCTATATAAATAATACAAAACCCTTGAAACGAGGTCACCTTTGAATTTCGTAACTTAACTTTATTTTCATGATAATATTTTATCACTACTCAATGACCTTTGATTATGATAAATCTACAGAACTGTTATCGTACACCATCGAATTTTAAATCATATGAACGTCTCCTAGCCTTTTTATTTACATACATACAAATATTTATGAAGAGGAAAGATTTGATTGCTTGTTTGTTTGTATAGGCTACAAAACTGTTTTAGCAATCATTCTGGTGTTATACCGATTTTAAAAATTCTTTCACCAAAGGAAAGTTACAGAATATGCGAAGTATCGCGGGAATACAGCCAGTTAATTAAAAATTATAAATTTAATCAAAATCTTTAAAATATAATTTGCCACATTGAAGGCTTTTTGTATAACTTTCAAAAAAACTGATGTAAACATTTGTATAGAAATCTTGTGAACATATTTTTAAAATAAATAGGTTATAGCAATAACTCGAGAATTTACTAGTTAAAAAGCAAAAATGTCGGAAGAAGTGTCGACCGGAGTCAGTGGATAAAAAAACTGAGAGGTACTTCAGATTATCCAAACTGAAAGTTTCAGGTAAAAAAAAACTACCTAAAAAACAAGAACTGGTGGTGTGTTGTTGAAAAAGCCAAAAGAAGCTTGGTCGAACTTACAAAAAGTGTTGGAGGACAAAGGTTGGGGAAGATGAATTCGACTTCAACGAAAGCTCTGGGGCTGCAAATTAGAAAACTTCGAAACAATGGAGGCTTATATATCTATAGTTACTTTTCTTGCTCAATAGTTAGCAGATATTGATGCAACAGTAGAGGAAGATTGGATCGATTTTTTTTAGTGGTTTGACTCCTGACTACACTCCTCTTATTATGGTTGTTGACAATTGTTAAAAAAAAATACGTTAGAGCAAATAAAGATAAATTTATTTCATGGAGGAAGTAGACAGCAAAATGAAAAGCCAGACCTTGCCTTGGTAACTAGAAAAGTACAAAACACAATCAGATCTGATAACAAAACTAAAGATCGAAAGAAGAAGTGTCAAAGAACAAAGCGTCAGATGCACAGAAAAAGGTAAAATTGCAAATGTGTGCACACAAAAAGGCACTGAAGCAAAAATGGTACCTGGATAGTGGCTGCTCTAATCATATGACACATGATAAAAATAAGGTAGTGTATTTTTAACCTAAGAAAGGCAACATGAGTATTACCACAGAACACGGAAAAGAGGTATTACAGTTGCGAACAGAGAAAAGTAAGAGGGCAGTTGTGAATGAATGAGATAATTTAAGTTCTAAAAAGGTACTTTAAGTTGTTAGTTCTTAATTAAAGTTTTGAGAAGGAGTTATTTATTTTCTTATGTAATGGTAAATCTTTATTTGTTAATTTTTGTTTGTTTCGTTGTTCAATTTTTTGATCGAGTAGACTTTGTTTTGATAAATTCGAACATAAGTATTATTTAAACGTTTGTATAGATATCTTATGAATATATTATTAATATGAATAGAAACATTCTTTAATTAGTACGAGTATTTTTGTAACATACCCTTACATTAAAGTTAAACGTGTTGTTTTTTTATAACTTTATTAGTTATCGGATGACCCAAAACTAAAACCTGTTTAACTAACATATTGTATAACAAATATAATATGGGTTTTTAAGAAACTGTTTCTTTTTGGATTCAAAGAGCCTTTACAATCTTTAAATTAGTTGTCAGTACATAGTAAATCACTTCTTTACGTTGATCTTTTAAACTAAATAATGCAAAATAAGAATAAAGAAATCGTTTGTACTCACAAATAAAACCAACACCATGGTGATAAGAGGTATACTTAATGCGGCCAATGCTGCTTGTCTCCATGGTAACACAGATCCAAGCAGATACGCCATGAATATACCAGTCGAGGTAAAACTGTTCGTAAGTGTTGTTAGGATGCCACGGAGTGAAGGATCACTGAAATTTAATCAATAAAGATAATATATAATTTTTATAATAAATATATAGATGTATAGGTATTAGAGCAATGTGTAACGCAGATCCAGACCCAATTGAGAAGTGTAGACCCAGCGCCGACATTAAACCTTTTAATGTATTATTTTAAGACTATATTTAATCTTTTATCAATGAAATTTCAATTTTTACCCGACTGCGTGACACAAAGGAGGGTAATGAGTTTATCAGTCTATGTATGTATGTTTGTTTCTATGTGGCGTTCTTGAGGCCAAATGCGTATGCCGATTTTGATGATTTTAATGTCAATCGAATCGTCTTAACCTTGCGAGTGTCACTAAAGACATGACAGTATTCAAAATTCACCACAGCGACAACCAGCCGCCATATTGCCAAAATGAAAAAAAAAAACGATGAACTATGTCAAGTGGGGTGTCGTTGAATTGGTATTTTAAAATCATCTTTAGGTCCCTTTTATCATTTTTCACTTTAAATAATAGTTTAGGATATATAACGATTAAAAGTTGTTTAACAAAACCATCATTCTCGCTAATTTTCTTACTTATTGATTTAAGTTTTTATTTAAAGTATAAACGATATACAAACAAAAAAAAAAACAGTGAAAAAGCATGAAGAACAAATATTTTTGGTAAAAAAAAAATAACTTTTATACATCGCCAAGTCACCGTATAAAAAAAGTTTACCGCGAAGCTCGATAGATGAACTCGATAGATAAAATAAAAATAAATTATTTAAAGGAAAACAAAACACCCGACAGCATAAAAACTTAAAAAAATTAACTTAAATAAGAACTAAAAAGAAATATTTTTTTTAAATTCGTTTAAAAATAACTCGCACTGCGAACCTGCAAGCCAGTTTCTTAATTGCGAGCCATACATTTTTTATACTACAGCAGCGTTAAGACCACAGAACATACCTGAAAAGAGGTTTGTTGTGGTTAAGACGGATTCTTGTCACTAATGCCCGTTTTCACTAAATGAAATCAAATCTAATAGAGAGAATGGACCATGGTCCACCACGGGCCAGTATGGAACAGTGGGTATGAAGGTCTGCAGATGCAGCCGAGATCAACGGGTTAACGTGCCTTCGGATGCCCGAGGAGCTCGAGATAATAAATCTTTGGTCACCTATCCTATAACCGAAATAACAAGACTAGTGCAAGTGTCACTATGAGCACCATGCTATAAAAGGGCGAGAAATTTCTAGACACTTTATAATACACAATTATTTAAGACTTTGAAGTCTAGGCATGATGGTATTGGTAGTAGTGGTAGGGGTTACTATTTTCCATCTCGGGCAATTGGGTTATTAGATTTTTAAAGCATTTCTATAAGTTAATTTTATTATTATTATATTAAATATATTAACAATTATATAAAACAATTATTACTATTAACAAATGCCTGTAAATTATTTATGAGCAATATTTACTTTTAACAACAGTATTTACTTAAGATTATAAAAGGCGTTAATTTGGATAAGTAAGATGATTATTAAGTGATGTGACAAAGTAGCGTATACATATATGTTATACGGATAAATAACAACAATGAAAATAATATTGTTATCATGGTTCGATCTTATACTAACCGGTTGTTAATAGTTGTATACCTATTTATTTACTTGGTTTAATTATTAACAGGTTATTATCATTTACGATCATCAAATATGATAAAAAACACATTTACTTTGATTAACTGCTGAGTTAAAATAATCATAAATAGCGTTCAATCGTGTAATAATAATAACAGTAGATACGTCTTTTATTTCGGCGTTCAATTTTAAATAAATAAGCCATTATATTATAAAATTTTAATAATTAAATTTATTTCCGAGATTAGGTTAGTTAAGTATAAGTATAATTATAAATTGAAACGTTTTAAATAACATTTAGTATTTTAATTTTAAGTGTATCAAATTAACGAATGAGGAAGTATTTAAAAAAACATTAGTTCCAGAAATCAAACTAGATGTCGCTACGGTACGTTCTTAAATTCTCCATGATAAACCTTTCCGGTTTTTCGTCATGTATAAAAGTAAATTAGTTTTTAAAATTCAATAAACAACTCATATTCTATTTGTACTTTTCGAATTTGTATTGATATCTAAGTTTCGAAATTTTCAAATTTCAGTTTTTTAATATGTTAGTTAAAAGGAACGGACATGACTATCTTTGGTCATTCGTTTCCTGCAAAAATCAACTTTTGCTAGGGTCGCCACCTAGTGGAGGTGCTTTTTTAGTGCTATCGTTTTTTTTAAATACTTCCTCATTCTATTTTCATGCCTAAATATTATAAACTGTCATAGGTTTTACACAATCTCTTTCCAAAACTATTGCCTAGATTTTTTGATAGGCGTTTTATAAAAGCATTAATGTATATATGCCTTGACTGCGGATCCCTTGCAGTTGCAATTTTGTTATTCTTTCATTCAATCTTCTTTCAACATGCCCGCAACAATGGGGAATTTTTCTGTTAATATTTTTTGACACTTGATTGACTCTGACAATTTTTACAGACATGCTCTCTCTATCGCACCCAACTGTCGCTTCTATCTATATATTAGCATTGGGCTCAAAATTTTGCTGCCCAGATTTTTTTTTTACGGACATGCGTGTACATGCGTTACAAAGATCTTTTACACCCCACATGCCAATGAAACTTTAGCCAAACATACGGATTTATCCAATTTGCAATAATTTCTGTATAAAGTTTTGGTATATTGCAGCCAACTAGTTAAAACAGTCATTTAATTGCGCAGGGTGCTCCTTATATATATTATTCTTACCTTACTTCACCAACGTATGTGATGGAAGGTGCTTCCATTATTCCTGTACCGATGCCTAATAATGCGTTGCCAATGAACAGCACCGGTACACTCCAAGCGTAGTAAATTAGCAACCACGCTATTACATGCGGTATGTTCACTATAAATAGAGCCTTTTTTCTTCCGAAGTAATCTAGGAGGGGTCCGGAAAATAAGCTGCCTAAGGGCTGGCAAAGGAATGCTATGGAACCTGTAACATAGAAAAACATGTGTTTTAATATCTCAAAATATATTCACATTCATTTCTAATCCTAAACTTCTATAAGTAAAGGTACTTCCTCATAGTAGCTTCATCTTCAACGCATACCTATATTATTCGATAAAAATGCATAATGTTTTTGCTACAATGTATTAGAGCTGTTATAATATGATTGTTATACACATTCCCACACTGGTTCAACTTTTGTCATAATTTAAAACAAGAAGTAACATTATCTTAAACTATTATATTGTTACATTTTATTAAAAAGTTAAACAACTGATGCTATGAAAAAGAAAATTACTAAAACAGCTTGGAACTAGTCGTCGAGCGCAACGCTCGCTATCACGTCGTAGAACTTCAATGAAATTTAAAACCTTTATTAACTTTTGAAGTGGTTTTAGAAAGTTACCTACCCCCAACAAACAAACAAAGATAGTAACTTTACCACTTTATAATATAAGTGTACATAGCGCAACTTTGATAAACGGTGTCTTTATTTCTGATCGATAACTAACTTTCCGCCAGCGGCGCCCGTGTGGTCCTATATCCAAAATTTTTATGTTAGATAGTGGATTTCAATGCTGTTTTCATCTATATAAAGAGTAATTCAAAAGGATGATTTATATGTATAATACAGGACCATGCGCTCGATGACCAGTTCCAAGCTGTTTTTATAAATTTTTCCCTACTGCAGGGGCTCAAGCCTTCCTTATAGATGGTTAAAGAGCATGGGCCACCATGACCCTCCACGCTGGCCCAATGCGGATTGGAGGGTATTAGCGACTGAAAATGCAGCGCGCATTATCTCGAGCTACAACATGCCTTCCGAAGCACGGAGTAGCTCGAGATAAAAATTTTTTGGTCACCCATCCCGTGACCGACCCTTGTGAAAGTTGCTTAACGACAACGATCGCGTGTCGCGGCGCATATCCACTACACAACCAAGCTCCTCAAATTTTAACAATGTAATAAATTAATATATATTACATAGTGGACTTAATAATATAATATGACGGATGTAATCTATGTTTTTAAATCTACAGTCAATAATCCGACACGGAAGGCGATGAACCATGCGTTGTAGTATAGCTAAAGTACTTTTATAAGGTTTCCTGACAGTTGTAATTTGATACTAGCGTGGTTTGTGCGTGTCGACAAAATATCCGACCGAGCTACTTGACGAAATAGGGTGGCCAGCTGAACGGTTACAATGTTGCTAGCTGGGATCTTAGAGTAGGATTTAACAAATTATTTGGTGTCAAAAAACACAAAAAAAAAAATTATCGGCTTCAGAAATGGGCTTGTCGATTTCACCTGTAGACATCAGGCCTGCGATTTTGTAAAAATCTAAACCCGAATTCAAATTCACTCAGATGTCTGAATTCATTTCAAAAAGCGGCATCCGCTCAACCTTAAATTCGTAATAACATTTCGTGGCCTAAGTGAAGTGAGTTTTGAAATGACATAGGAATAGAATATCTGAGACGCGTACATTCAATCAATTTTGTTTTGTATTTTTATACAAAAAATGGAATCGATAGAATTTTTACACTAAATATGACGTGAATCGGACACATTAATGAATTCGAATTCGGGTCTCGCAAAGCCGATCCTTTGTAAATAGTGTAAGTTTTATCAAAATTGGTTTGACGATATTGAAGGTATAGGTAAATCACTATCATCAGTCCTTTTACGTCCCCACTGCAGGGGCTCAGGCCTTCCTTATTGATGGTTAAGGAGGATGGGCCATGACCCTCCACGCTGGCCCAAAGCGGATTGGAGGGTAAATCACTATAGTTTGTTTAAAATTATTTTAGCAAAAACAAGCTAAATGTTAAGAAATGACATATTTTCACATATTTTTAATATCAGCACGTCTCCTAATAAAGAAGCAGAGAAAGTGGGTTATTCCTAAGTATTAATTTCTTTAGATTAATAAAAATAATATTATAAATTAAGATTGCGCTTAAATATAAAAAGACTAGATATTTTCCAGCGACTTCGCTCGTGTAAATTATAGCCTGTCATTCGCGTATAATGTAGCTTTGGTATATGCTTGCTCCCTACAAACAAACGGACAGAGTTAGAAACTTTATATCTTAATATTGCAATTTAATTGCAGTGCATGACTTTTTCTTTTATTTCAATTACGAATTTTTAAAGTAGGACTGTTTCATCGTAGCCCATATTTGTTAGAAAGAAATGGACAGGACCACATGTATTATTGTAATCTGCTACACCTACGTAACACAATCGTCGTGTGATTTTTCTTTTATGCGCCCCCTTAAGTATTTAATTAATGATATTATATCACTGAATACTATAAAACCTGTCGCGACCTTTGAATATGACCCTCATAATGAACCTCGTACTTACGATACCATCATACATAGATATCATATTCAAGTTTCCGATTGTACTGACCTTATTGCTTTTACATAAAGTTGGTTATGCTTGATCGAATTACCTCTTACTGAATTAGAAAAGTACTATGTAGGTACAATATTTATAACGTTCAGGTATACTATTCTGTTAAAAAGCTGCCTCTAACTAACGACGAACAGTGTCACAGCTTAGAGTTTCAATGAAATGAAACCTTTATTACCTTTTGGAGTAGGTTTTGTTTGACTTGGAGCTCTCCAAGTCAAACAAAACCTACTCCAAATATGAAATACGATGGCATAGTGTTTAGCGCGGTAGATTTACGATACGATAGTTAAGCAACATTTACAAGTCCCGGTCATTTGATGAGTGACTATTATTTCAAACTCCTCCGTGCTTCGGAGCGTAAGTTAAACCGTTGGTCCTTGCTGCATCTGCAGTAGCCAACACCCATTAATCCGCACTGGCCCCATGAGGTGGGTGGTGGTCCATTCTCCCAATTCGATTCCATCCATAGGGTAAGCCTGTGTTCCAGCAATGGATACTAAAAGGCTGATGATATGCTATTTGATTGGACGCTCTGACAGCGCAGCGCTCATCGTCAAGCTTCAAGGCAGTTTTTTTTTTATAACAGAATAGCACTTTAACGCTTGCCAATAGCGTTTTGATAACAAATTTGTCGAAACGCCATTAAACATATTTGTGCTTGTTAGATTTCTCAATCGTTAAAGTTCGGGCATAAGGTTTACAACTACCCTAGTTGTACTAAATCCTAGCGCACTGTCATTGATACGCAGCTATAATCTTAAAGGAGATGGTTTTGTCAAAAAAATATTTCGAAATTATTCAAAAAGAGAGTTACATTTTACTATTTGTATTTGTACTCACCGAACCACGACGCTTGTTCTATGGTGATGGATAGCCCCTTAGGAGCGTTGAGAACAGCTGGCAACACCATGGTGACGAAGCTTATTGACATGCCGAGACCAATCAACAGGAAATCTAATGCGAGACATGCTAGAACCTGCCGAAAATAAGGTATGCATCAGCTGTAATTTCTATTGTCTCTTAATTTGACTAGAAATTTTTTATATGTTTAATTCGACTTTTTTTCAATTTAACAGCATTATTTTTTTTCGCTAATAATGAGTTTGGAGTGGGGGACCATTTTGTCCTTGTCGCTCTCAAATAACTCTTACGGCTTCACAGAATGGCTTACTAATTTTTTACGTCACGTCTAGTATACTATATTGGAGATTTAAAATGTTCATGTCTTCATAAATTATTGGAGATTTTAATTTACTCTTACAAATTTCGTTATTTTATTTTGAAAACATGAAGAAAATATAGCTTCAGTATTAAAAAGTATATCAAATGGTAATTTTCGATACGGAGAAATTTTATAAAATCACATTTATTTTACACTAGCTGACCCTGCGAACTTTGTACCGCCTTGTTTTTCTTTTAAACCTTATATACAAAAGAACCCTTTAAACCTTAGAACTAGAATTCGGAAGTTATGCACGTGCACAACGTATTACATATTGAACTAATATCGTTGTAATATCGTCAGTTTGCACAAAACCTAAATTTACTATACACTAAAATCTTCCACTTCAATCATTCTATCTATTTAAAAAACCACATCAAAATCCGTTGCGTAGTTTTAAAGATTTAAACATACATATATATATATAGGGACAGAGAAAGTGATTTTGTTTTATACTATGTAGTGATAATAATATTTTTTTAATATTTAATCACTGTGTGTTTTTGGAGTTATTTCCTTTATAGTTAGTAGATACATTTTTGTTTAAGCCCTCTTAATTGGTCTATGATGATTAAGTTCAGAATGTAATATTATTAACTTGTGTTAGCAATAAGGGTTATCATATTATGTGCCTGATTTAATGCATTATGATATTATGTAACAATTAATTAGAAGATAAGATAATTTGCAACTTTTTTTAGTATACATCACCGGTTTTTTATCATAGAGTTATTGTTTTGCTTTGATAAAAGAACTAGGAAATCATGACGTTTACAAGCTGACGCGAAGTTAGTAATCCTTTAGATTTCCTATATATGTATTATATTTGATCAATTTTGCATGTACAATGTTATACTAATAAATATTTTAAATTGCCTCGGGGAACCTGGGACTAATGGGTTTTTAAGCATATTTCATTAAAAATATTGACTTTCTATTTCAATAGGCTTATTGTCTAATTTGAATATCTATAACTACCCTTTCAAAGATATTGTGATACTATCTTATGGAATAATGTAACATTTAAAGTCGCATCAGGAAACAATAAAAACCTGCCTAAACAAGTCGAAAGATTGCAAATAGGATTTATTTCTGTGCAAATAGCATTTCGTTTGACATGCTCAATACATTTTAAAGATATTTGCGTCTAACGCTAGTTTTAGATATTTCCAATTAATGTTAAATTAACGATATAGTTCATACAATATCATTCAAAATGCGTCACGATCGCAACCGTTTTCACTTGTTATATAATTGTAGCGTTCACGAAGTTCGTAGTACCTTTGAAATTGGATTGTGTTAGATTAGACAAGTGTCCATCACTGTCCCGAGTTTTTTCTTAAAAGAAGTCTTACCAAAATTCCTTCACTCAAGACTTTTATAACGTCGAGATTGGGCGAGGTGACGCGCAATTTTATTATTTTCTATAAATAATTTACACTTTAAATAAACAAAATAAAACGTATGAAATTACAGTTACATACAGTTTAAATAGCGGTTCTTAAGTAACACAGGTCTAAATTTAATTATATATGGAGAGCGTTTATACATAAGCATGTCTAAAAGGAAGAAGAAAATTGCTCTTGTTTAAAATTATGTAAGAAAACAGCTTGCCCACTGCCGCAACGGTTGCGGGCAAAAAAGAAATCGCTCAGTATATTCTAGGCTTTAAAATGTAATTATTAAATACCTAAGTTTGTATTTGTCCAATCAATAGTATGCAGTTGTGAAAAACTGTACACTTCTTTCGATCATCGGAATTGGGTTCACGGAAAATGTATTTAAACAAACGACCTTACTTTTAAACATACATATCTCAAAGGTTGGGACAATTAATTATCTCAAATGAAATGCGTCATTCTTCAGTTTACATTTAAATATTTTTCTATGTGGTTACCGCGTATTGTCTATTTTGTCAATGTGGAGATTAAGAAAGGTTCGTATTGGATTATGAAAGGATGGGCGACCAAAAATTTTGCTTCTGTAGCTGCAGTTGTTAACACAATCCGCTTTGATGGAATGGTTATATTTTTATACATCATAAGAAAACGCGTATTTTTAATTATTTTAAAAATAACGCAGTATATTTTTGTAATTATTTGATTGATTAGATAATATCATACATTTATTTAAGAACGTTTCAAGTGAGGTGTAACAAAATTTGTCGCTCCAGTTAGCAATTGTTTATATACCGTAATGTTATCTAGATTATCTTTGTACAGATAATGTATCAAGTATAAAGTAAAACATAAAGTTCGTAAAATATATATTTTCGTGCTGTTTTCTTTAGAAAACCGTTTTATATAGATTTTCTTTTCTATAAAAATTACTTTATATTTATTTCGTCATTACAATAATTATAAAAATAACCTGCAAACGGGTTTGACTAAATCTTGCTTCTTTTTTGTTTGTTTACGGCTCCGACTGGTGTCATATCATGGCAGCTATTATTTTGTTTATGTAAGTTTTTAACACTGACAAAATATTTTAAAACTAAGGTTTTTCCGACTGCTTACTATTTAAGCTATCTCGGTTGTTATTAAAAAAAAAAAATCCTTATTATACGTATAGAAAGAACTTTAAGTCTAACAAATAAATTAACTTACTCATCCAAAAAATAAGACTTTAACCTAAAATTGATTAGTGGTACTATGTTTTTATCCTTATTAAACGTATAGAAAGAACTTTAAGTCTAACAAATAAATTAACTTACTCATCCAAAAAATAAGACTTTAACCTAAAATTGATTAGTGGTACTATGTTTTTATCCTTATTATACGTATAGAAAGAACTTTTAAGTCTAACAAATAAATTAACTTACTCATCTTAAAAAATAAGACTTTAACCTAAAATTGATCAGAGTTCACTTTGATCAGCGGAAGACTTATTAGAAATGTAAGCTAATTTCATGTCATTACATCTATTAAGGCTTCTAATTGAGTAATAGAAAAATTTCGCTGTCACCGCAAACGACGGAAGGTCGTTGTCGAAATTTGATACTTCACTGTATGTTTTAGAGGACTTGGTAATTGTTTTGCGGTCTTATTTGTGGTGAGTGACTTTGTTTTTTATAATATAAACTAAATATTGTTGATATTTGATTGGGTTTGATTTATATAAAGGCGCCGTCTTAATGCCGCTTTAAGATAATAATGACAATATACCAATTGAGAACAACACCCTTCTTATTATATAATAACGACTAATTTTTGTACCAGGTTCAAACCATTATCCGAAATTAATTAAATAACGCTAATGATAACTATCACCACTGATGTGCGAGGTAGACAATTATATACAGGAGCAACTACACGAGAAATACTAATATTATTAGACTTTAGGTTAATAGTACATTGGTAAAAAAAAAAAAACAGTACATACATCATCGTCGAACATACAGACTCCTTCTTTGTGATTTGAGAATTCGTTTAGATTCTATTGAGATGCGATTATTACATTAATATTATTAGAATTGACTTGCAGCTCTGCGATCCTGTTAAAAACCAAACCCGAATGAGGAAGTATTAAAAAAAAGACATTAGTTCCCGAAATTAAACTAGATGTCGCTACGGCACGTTCTTGATTTCTCCTTGACAACCTTTCCAGTTTTCTTTCATGTATAAAAGTAAATTAGTTTTTAAAACTCAATAAACAACTCATATTTTATTTGTTCTTTTTCGTATTTGCATTGATTTCTAAGTTTCGATCTTTTCAAATTTCAGTTTTTTAATATGTTAGTTAAAAGGAACGGAAATTATTGTCTTTGGTCCATTCGTTTCTTGCAAAAATCAACTTTTGCTAGAGTGGAGGTGCTTTTTAGTGCTTTCGTTTTTTTTTAAATACTTCCTCAAGTGAATTCGTTTCAAAAAGCGACATCCGCTCAACCTTGAATTGGTAAAAATGTTTTGTGGCATAAGTGAAGTGAGTTTCGAAATGACATACAAATAGAATATCTGAGGCTCGTACATTCAATCAATTTTGTTTTGTATTTTTATACAAAAATCGGAATCAATAGAACTTGTATACTAAATAACGTGAATTAAGACACATGAGTGAATTCACTTCGAAAAGTGGATTCCGCCCAATCTTGGATTGGTAATAACGTTTTGTGGCATAAGTGAAGTGAGTTTCGAAATGACATAGAGATAGAATATCTGAGATACGTATATTCAATCAATTTTATTTAGATTTTATTTTGAATCAATAGAATTTCTATACTAAATGAAGTGAATTCGGAGAGATAAGGGAAAGCTTCGGGTTTGGTCTTTTACACAATCACAGGGCAGGGCTCAATTTGATGATTTATTTTCAATCCCTGTCTATTTAATTTAGGCGGGCAATAGTTAAGTCATATAGTAACTTAAACTTTACTTCTTGTTTTATGATAAGTTCTAATTATTTCTGTTCGGTTTAACGGAATTTCAAAAGAGCAAATAAAACATAAAAAATAATTAGCACACATTTAATTGTAAAATAAATCTTTACTGTTTCCTGAGGTAATAAAAATTAGTCCGGAAATACAACTACCAAAGATCATTCTAACAGACCAATTGAGAAACCTTCGATGAATTCATCAATCATTCGATAGTGAATTAGGACGAATTGTCGATGTCTTTGACCTGTTTATTACAACGTTTTGTAAGTAGCACATAAATTGTAGACAAAAACGATTAGCTTGTCTTCCTAAT